TATTGTCAAGGTGATGTATAGACGGGTTACAGTTACACATGTTATGTAGTGGGTACATTTTTTTCAAATTTGCTACCCCCCACCTAATTTTTCTCTTACTTTCTCTCCCCCATGCTCCTCAAGTTACACAGTTCATTTCCAACATATTATCTTGTGAGTATAGCCATTGTGTTAGTTCCCCCTTTGTCCTTTGTCTCACCATTTTGTTGTTTCCCTACTCTTCCCTAATTCAGATAAACATATATAAAATACCCAGCATACCAAAATCAAATACAGTGACAACAGGGGATAAACCATAGGAAGAAAAGTACAAAAGCAAAAAGAAATAATATAGTACATTAAAAACAACAACAACAAAGAAAAATCTCTTGTTGCCATATCTTGGAATTCATTTTGCTTAGTATCATCTTATGTGGTCATATGTCATATTGGGCAAATTGAGCTATTCTACTCATTTGCTAGGACTATCCTAGACCTATACTAATCATTGCAAATGAGGGAAAACATGGGAATTATGTTTCTTTGGGTCTGGCTTACCTCACTTAATATGAGTTTTTCCAACTCTTTCCATTTCCTTATGAATGGGGCTATGCCATTCTTTTTGATGGAAACATAGAATTCCATTGTGTATATAAATCACATTTTCTTATATTGAGTGGCATCTAGGTTGCTTCAATATTTTAGCTATGTTAAATAACTGCAATAAACATAGATGAGCTGGTAGCTTTATGGTGGGCTTGTTTGTGGTCATTTGAGTAAATTCTGGGAAGTGGGATTGCTCCATGTTTAGTTTTATTTGTGTGTGTGTGTGTGTGTGTGTGTGTTGTGGGCTTGAACTCTGGGCTTGGGCACTGTCCCTCAGCTTTTCAGCTCAAAGAGAGCATGCTACCATGTGAGCCATAGAGCAATAGAGCCGCTTCCGGTTTTCTGGTGGTTTATTGGAGATAAGAGTCTCAGGAACTTTTCCTGCCCAGGCTGGTTTTGAACTGCCATCCTCAGATCTCAGCCTCCTGAGTAGCTAGGAGTACAGGTATGAGTCACCGGTGTCCCACTATGTTTAGTCTTTTGAGGAACTTCCATACTGTTTTCCAGAGTGGTTGAGCAAGTTTACACTCCCACCAACAGTGAGTGTAGTAGAGTTCACTTTTGGGCACATTCCTGCAACATCTGTTGTTATTAGATTTCTTGATAATAGCCATTCTAACTTGGGTGAGGTGGAATCTCAATGTTGTTTTGATATGCATTTCTTTTATGGTCAGAGATGTTGAACATTTCTTCATGTCACTATTGGCTATTCTTATTTCCTGTTCAGAGAAGTCTCCCTTAAGTCTTCGGCACAAGAACAGGCTTGAGGGCCAATGGAATAGAACTGAAGACCCAGAAATGAATCTGCAAAAAAAAAAAATAGGATGAAAGGAAGAAGACAGACTCTTCATCAAATGCTGCTAACAAAATTGTTTAAACACTTGTAAAAAACTAAAGTTAGTTCCTTATGTATCACCCTGAACCAAAATCAATTTCAAATGGATCAAAGATCTCAAGGTTAAAGCAGATACTCTGAAAACAATGCAGAAAGGAATAGGAGAAACACTAGGGCTTGTTGACAAAAGAAACACAAGAAATCAAAGAAAGGTTGGACAAATGGGATTGCATTAAACTTCAGAGCTTCTGCATGGCAAACAACATAGTAGCAAGATATATAGAAAGCCCACGGATTGGGAGATCCTCACTAGTCCTATAACAGACAAGGGCCTCATATCTAAAATACACTTAGAACTCAAAAAATTAAATCCCCCAACAACAAATCCTCAAAGGAAAAACTGCCCCGTTAATAAGTGGGTTTTGTTGTTTGTGTTTGCTGGTTTGATTTTTCTTTTCTGCTTTGTCACTGTTTATGCTTTCTGTGTCTTTTGTTTTGTATGTAAGTTTATTTGTCTTGGGGAGCATAAGTGGGGGCACTTAAGGGAGAGTGAACAAATGCAACAGTGATACTAGATAATGTGTAAAAATGAACTGCACAACTTTTGGGGAAGGGGGTTTGGAGTGAAAAACTGGGAGAAAATTAGGGAAGAAGTGATACTGTTCATAAGGAATGTACTCATTTTCTGACAGGTGCATCATCTTTACATACCAATAAAACAATGGTTAAAAAAAGAAATTGCTATTTTTCTAGAATTGGAAATCCAGATAAAATATCATTTCTTAAATTAGTCACTTTTTAGAATCAATTAAATATTTTAACATTTAAATACACTATGTCGGTATTTTACAGAGATAATATAGGAAAAAATAAATTCATATCTTGCATCATACTACCAAACAAATATTTGGCCTAGATTTATTATATAATGATCACATCATAAATATGTATCCATAGGCACTCATATATTTATGTTTGATTTTTATCTTTTTAAGCACACATATAGTATTCTGAGCTAAGCCTGATATCTGTGTAGATTATATTCCTAGTTTTTCTTTATCCTAATTGAAACAATATCACTATAGACTATACATGAAGGAAAGTTGAGTAAAAGAGAAAGAGACTGACAGAAAGCCACATAGTTGCACAAAGATCAGCAGGTGCTGAGAGCTGCATCTGGTACTGAATGTGTCACTACTGGTTCTCTTATCTTGGGGAAGGATGCTTAATTTCTCACTGCCTTCAGTCATTCTTGACTCCAATGGATGTTATTTGATGCAAAAGGTTTTTATATGTAATATGTTTACAGAGGTATTTGGCATAAAAGTATGCTCCAAATACTCAAAAATATTTACTGCCATCCATAGATACTAATTTTTCCCTCTAATGTCAGAATTATAATCTATTCTATCACATCACAACTTTTCACCCCTGAACACCTGAGTTTTCTATGTTTTCTTTCTTTTATTCCTCACTAGAAATTAGTCTTGCATGAAGTGTTTAGATCTTTGCAATGAAATCAAATAGCATGTATCCTTTTGTGAAAATATTTTTTTAATCAGCTTAAGGCTTTAGAGATTGATCCATGTTGCCCAAGTCAATAGTTTATTCCTTTTTATGGCTGAGTAGCATTCAATTATGTGGTCAGAAAAGAGCTTATTTGTACATTATTTCTTGAATGAACACCCTTGATATTTCTAGCTTCTCACTTTTATGATAAATCTGGTAGTACCAGTCTTTCACAAAAGTCATCTTTTAAACATTTCCTGCCATGTCTTAGAAAAACAACTGTTGAAACATAGGGTAAAATTGGGGCTTATTTTTAGAAGAAGCAAACATCCTTACAGAATACTTATACAATTTTAATCCATCTAGTAATACATAATGTAAATTCAGTAATTTCTTATCCATATCAATATTTGATCTTTCAAATTTTTTAAATTTTGATTATTTTGTTCCCATTCTGTTTCCACATAAATGCACTTAATAGACTAATGTTTCTAAGTATGGATCATCTTAATTTTATGTTTATGAAACTGAATAAAAAGGCACAAGGAAAAACATTTAATTCACCTTCATAAAAGCATTTTAGCAATGAATTGGGCTTTAAAAAGTTTAAAAATAAACAGGTAAAGGTATTATTCAAACGCAACTCATTGTGATGCAAATTATTACAGAACTTCTTGCTTGGAAAACAATTTCAGAGGTTCCCTTGCATGGAGATGCATGATAGACTGCATTTCACAGTTTGCCATGCATTACATGTGTTGACAGATGTGTTAGAAGATGGAAGAACCCTGGCCAGTGATGATGAGGAAATAAGACCAAAAGGACATGCTTGAATAAAATACATACCTTGCTATTAAAAGTAGTTTTTCTAGACAGATGTAGAAGCTCATATCTACAATCCCAGCTGCTAAGTAGGCATAGATTGGGAGGGCTGTAATTCAAGGGCAGCCTTGTTAAAAGATTGGGAGACCATAGAGAATATTTACATGATCTTTTCTAAAAAATAACCTAAAGTAAAAAGAGTTGGAGGTTTGGATGAATTGGTAGAATGTCTTGTTGCAAGTGTGAGATTTAAGGTTCAAACTCGAGTATTGTCATAACAAGACAGTAGTTTATCTACAGTAGCATTATTTAATATACTAGGTCTTGAGCATGGCTATTAACTAATACAAATATTATAGAGCATTTTTATCTGTAACTTCACTTTTATTCATTTCCAACGAGTAAAGCATAAGAAATGATCTCACTACGCTTAATTTGTTCTGATACTATAAAGTGATATGTACACCTGAGACATGGTAAAAGGTCCCTTGTAGTTCCTATGCCTGCTTCTTCAAAATGGGACTCTCCAGGAGTGCTTACAATGATTTTAAGTTACCAAGGGAATACCTGCCAGAGATACAGCTAAGCTTACACACTTCCTCTGTATGTATTTTTGCTTATATAAAATAGGATAATGCCAAATCTGATTGGGAGGCAAAGTTTAAGGTTTTGTTGTTGTTGTTTTATTTTTCCATTGTTTGTGTGTGTGCATGCATGCATGTGTGTGTGTGTGTGTGTGTGTGTGTGTGTGTGTGTTCCCGCCTGCACTGTCTCAGTGTTGTCTCTTAGCTCTTTTGGTCAAAGCTGGAGTAACACTTGAGCCATATTCCACTTCCATGTTTTTGCTGGTTAATTGGATATAAGTTATCTGGAACATTCTTACCTAAGCTAATTTTGAGCCATAATCTTCAAATCTCATCCCACTAAGTAACTAGGATTTCAGGCATAACCATTGATATCCAGTTCATAATGTCTTAAATACATTATCATTGATATTCTGCCCTGCTTTCTTCTTTTCCTCTTGAATCTAGAAGTTCCAAGAATAGACATGTTATGCATATCTGTCTGAAGAGAAGCCATTAAATATGCCTTTTTAATTTTTGTTATTTACATTTGTTATTTGATTCTTCAACACAGACTGCTGCACTGAATGTGTTGCCATAGAATAAACTAGAAAAAGTTTGCCAAAAATACAGCAAACACTTGTGTCAGTCCTTTCTGCATCTGTTTTGTTTTTGTTTGGTTTCAGTGATTGGAGATGATGGATTTTATGTAATCCTTAAAGGCATAGCTCGACCTCGTACGAAGATATGTACAAATCTGACTGATAAAACTGGCTCAGTGTCCTTCCTACCTGAGAACAACACTATTTTTGATCTGCAGTTAAAAAGTTCTACACTTGCTGAGCTTTATGTACCTAAAGGAAATATAGTGGTAAGAGATGAAAATTTGCTTTCACTATAAGCACTAATGTATCAGAATTATAAACTTTGTACATGCAAACAGTTTCAGAGTTCTAAAATATTCAAGACAATATATTCCCTTAAAATAGGTTTTACTGCTAATATTGAACTTGACTTGATTTTAAAAAATTAAAGAAGTATGCTTTGCAATTTTTCTTATCTACTCACAATGTTTGTGTTGGGTATTTGATAACTGAGAGAAGACCAACATTCCTGGTTCCCTGGAAGGAGATGGATGACAGTTTGGAGTGAAGAGGAGCAAATAGGTGACTTCAGAAGGAAATAGATAACTAAGGAGGGGAAGATAGACGGCTGATTACAATGAGCCTTTACAATCAAAATAAGAATATGCACCCATCATATTTGTCTTAAAAGCAATGTTAATATAATCTGATTGCATTAAAATAAATAATTCTGATTTTAAAAATCTGACAGGACATAATATTTCAAGATTATTAGCTGGTCAAAAAGTTCTATATCTTTGAAGCCATACCAAGGGGTGAGTACCAAGTACTTAAGACCAATTTAATCTGTTTTAGCAAAAATACCACAGATGGCACAGCAGCTATAACTATGGCTGTTTTTGGTGGAGTTTGTGGTAATTGAATCTTCTCTAAACCATTTTTTTGAGGTTCAGACTTGTGAATTAAATGGCACACTATGAAAACCGTTATCTTTGCATTCTATATTTAGGCCTTTCGGAAAAGATGAACCAACAAGTTATTGATTTTCCATCTAGGGAGTGTCTGAGTTGCTTTGTGGTGGTATAAAGACCTAGTGCCACCAAATGTGTGAAGTGAGGTGGCTGAGACCAAATAATTTCTTGCAGACATCCTGGTACCTAGTCAGGAGATGGGAAGCTGTTCACCCTGGTCCAAGACCCAGAGGTGAGACAAGCGATCCTTTGAAATGCACATGCCTAGCTCAGGGTGAGCTAGGAGGGCTTTGCTTTAGAGAAAAGCATATGTTATCTTGTTTTCATGGTGGGAAGGGTGGCCCCCTCACCTCCCTCAGGTGATGGGCATACCTGGACCCCTGGAGGCAGGGGTGGGCATGTGGTTGATAGGTTGCTGAACTTGTGCCTGGGACTGGGAGTGTCCTGTGATCCATCCCCCTGGCCTGACAAATTCAGCTCTCCATTGGAGCTGAATTGGTTTGTTGGTATTGTTTTTGTTCCTTTCCTTTCTGGCCTGTTTCCTAAGCATCTTATGGTCTTATGTGTATTTGGGAGTTTCATGCCTTTGTATCAACTGGCTACATGCAGGCTGCTAAATGTGTAATAAAGACTCAAATATTCCATCTACCAAAATGTGGCTTCTGGGATAATTCACCTTATTTACAACATGTGCATCAGATCAGGACCAAAACTTGACTTTTATGTATTCTTCATATTTTTTTTTTGCTTGCAACAGGTCACCTGACATTTTATTTACCAAGAATTTAACACCACTACCTCAAATGTTAAGACCTTAGTTCTTCATGATCAAGCAGATCTGACAGTATCCTAATTTTCACTATGTCATGTCACTTAACTAATGCAGTTAAAACTTTTAACTGATAATAAAAAACTTTTAACATCATAATAATAATCTTAATATGTCCCATAATGATATGGTAGTCAGATCTCTGATTCTTTGTTTAGTATTGATAAACAATTCTTCAAACTGGCAATGGTCCACTCATATCAATACACACACACACACACACACACACACACACACACACACACACACACACACACACACTATTATCTGATAAGATGGTAGATCAGGAGGATCATTTGAATGCAATGTAAAACAAATCTTTAGACCTAATGAATAGATATAAGACAGGACCTTTAGACCTTGTGAATGGAACATAAGACAGGGAGAAGAATAACAGAGGAAGTAGGACACAGCTAGATGGAGCTGGTCCTAAGGAAGAAAATATGGTGATCAGAGGAAGAACAAGTTCACTGTGGCTTATGAGGACAGGATAGTGTTATCTACTTTAAATCTATAATCTGCATGGAATTATGAAACTGGTTGAACCTTTTCATGTCTATTTCCTTGTTTTTTAAGTTTTTCCCTATTTCCCTTGAGCTTTAGAATACAAGGGTTACCTGTCTTAATGATTTCCTATGGGCTGTCTGCTTTTACAGTCTTCTGTCTCCTCTTACATTTCTCACTCCAGCCATAATAACCTTTGGTACCATTTTGTATATTCTGCCCCTCTGCATCATTAAGAATTTGCCTAATGCTAAAAAAAACCTCAGCAAAAATGACACTTGAGATTTTTGCTGAAATTTTAGTCTGACATAAATGTAACTCTACCAAATGTCCACTATCCCCTATTCTTTTGTCTATCACAGCATTTTATATCTCACAGCATTTTAACCTCAAGCTGACTATTACTTATTAATGATAGTGCACCATTTTAGTCATTGTTAATAAATTATGTCATCTAATTTTTATGAAGACCTTCAGGAATAAAGAAAGATAGCTATGCTTACTATCACTTGCACTCTAATGAGGGAGATTCATGCAAAATTCCAGTTAATTTTTGTGCCCCAGTTAAATGTATGCAAAGAGCTCTAGCGGATTCCTAAATGGGAAGGAAACAATGGGCCTAAACAGGGAAATTTTCAGTGGAGAAGGAAAAAGCATTCCAGATTAATGAATAACATAAGGAAAGGCAGAGAGATAAAGAGGTGGTAAGATAAATACAGCTTGTGAGGTAGATTTATCCCTAATTAAAACAAAACAAAACAAAATCCTTGTTAATCAAGTTTAGTATTTAAATGTTTGTTTAAAAGTCCCTGAGAAGCGTGACATAAGTGGATGCGTACTTTAAAATGTTTGGTAGGAAATGTACTCATTACCTTGTGAATGTAACTGTAACCCCTCTGTACAGTATTCTTACAACAAAAATGTACTAAAAAAGAAAGTTAACTTTGGTTAATGTGAATTATGTATTTCATTAGAAGGCGGGAGACAGGGGTAATAAAGGAAGGTATTAAAATGTTCTTTGATGAAGGTAAGTGCCCGATTCAAGGAAATGGATAGTTGAAAAGGTTCAAGGGATACTTTATAGTAAAACAGGGATGAATAAAATTAAACAATGATGATGTTTCCAAGATAGTTTCTAGATTTAAGGACAATATTCTTGCTGTATTAACATAGTAAATATTTTGTAGTTTATTTTGAATCTATGGAAAGATATTGAGAAGACTATAAAATCCTAATAAACTAAAATAATTTTCATTTTCATGTAAGATAGTTTTAATGAAGATTAACTAGATCAAATAGTAAACAATTTGTACTGGCTGACTTGTTATAAAAGTTTATTAATGGCTGACTTCAACTTATGAATCCATCAACTGGTTATTAGATACACAAATCCAAATGTTCCTAGATAATTGAACGTCATATACCACTAAAATTACAAATTAGATTGAAATTTATTTGGTGTAATTATTGAATTAAAATAACAAAGTATAAAGTCTGTCTAAATATTCATTCAATACTTATAATTTTATGTGAAGTTTATTTTTGATTTCTGGAACAGCATGACTTTGTGTGTGTGTGAGTGTGTGTGAGTGTGTGTGTGTGTGAGTATGTGTGTGTGTGATTTCTTCTCTTTTGTTGATGAGGTGAAAGATATTTTTTTCAAATGCTTTTCTAAAAATTAAAAGTTTATGAACACTGATTTTAAAAGTGAATAAAATATATAAACCACAGAAGCAAGTATTGGGCTGCTTACCATAGTGTAACATTACATTATTCATGTAAATTCTGTATTTTAATATTCTTTTTACCCTTTCTATTTTTAAAGAAAGCAGAGAGAGGGAGAATTTAGGAAATATCTTGTTAAAATATGTTTAATTATCTTTTGGTGGAGAACACCAAACTCACATTGATATTTTCATTTGAATTTTAGTTGTAAAAGAATTCATATCTATAAACTAAAAAAAGTCGAGAGGCAATAATGAATGTGTGTTGAAATGCTTAGTTCTTCAGTCAGTTTTGGCAAAGGATATATGATATATACCCTGGCAAATTTTCATTATAACAGATTTCATTTATTTATTGTCTTTAGTTGTATATAAGGGTGTCAATTCAACATGTCAGTTTGTGAGTACAATTCATCTTGATCAATGTTTAGCCACTTATCTCTTCTGTTGCAGCCTCTTTAAGTTGCTATAACAAAATCATAAACTGATTCATCTGTCAACACTAGAGATTCATTTCTCACATTTATGATGACTGGGAAACTTAAAGTCAAGTTTTTAGAACAGTCAGTGTCTGATGATGCCTGCATTCAGGTTCATAGTCAAGTATGTCCTTGTACAGTGGAAGGGCTCAACCTGCTCCCTTAGATTTATTTGCTGAGGCTACTAACCTTAAATCACCTGGAGATGTTCTCACCTCCTAAAACAAACTCCTTGGGAACTGGGATTTCGACATGAGTTTGAATCATTCAATCCAATGCAAGTTATGAAAGCTTTGTCAGATTTGATCTGATTGTGAGGACCATTTTATTTATTCCAAAATTCCATATAAGTAGAATCTAGCAGGTATATTCTTTGTGTAATTCTATTTCTACTCTTAGTATTATAGTTTCCTAATATATCCTTATTGTTGCACATAACACTGTTTATTACAATTAATTGAAGAATAGTAGTTACACAATAAGCATCCATTATTCTATTTACAGACATTTGAGTTGTTCTCAAAATAAGGAAATTAATCATAGAGGCCTTTTTATTAAAAATGATTCTATTTCTCTTGTATAAAACGTCTAGATGTAGGCTTGAATCCTGGCTTGGCTTTCTAGTTATTTGTCCTTGGATACATTCCTTACATAATTTCTTATTTTTTAAGATAGACATGATGGTAATAATAATTCTAATACTGTCCCACTCATAGAACTACTTTGGTGATTAAATATGAGTCATGAGTTCACTTATCAAAAGTAGGAGTCTGTAAATGT